GAGGACAAGGCCCTGCGCCAGCACGTCGCTGACTTTGACTTTGGAAACGTGTGTTCCTTGCTTGGGCCGCCGCCCTCCGCTGGAGAAGACAAGGACAACAACGGTTGCGACGCTGCACATAGTCCTGTCGAAAGTTGCAGGGCGCTATACGATTTCTGTTATGTGGGATCTCCAAAGAAGTCAGGTGCATTTTGGCATGGCCTCCAGTTGATCGAGGACAAACTCGTCGCACAAATTGGTCTGACACGCCAATTTGTGTCTGGGATGCGATCAGTTCAGGAGGTTCTGGGGTTTCGGATAGTCGGTTAAGCAGTTTAGAACATCCCCACATCAACACGTAGAGGTGTCATTCAGCTACAGATGTCTCCAGATTAACCGCTGCAAAAAAGCCCCCTGGCAGGTCACTAGCATATCTAGACACTGCGTAAATCCACGGCTGACGGCAGCTACTAGGCAGTTCCCTGAGCTCAAGCATCCAAACGATAGGGTTTTTGGTTCAACATATGTACCGGCTGCTTGTGTACTTGGACCCTTACGACTAATCCTCAACCGACGGAGGTCTCCGATCCGCCTTCCTTCCAAAGGGAGATGCGCCGGCTGAAGGATGCTGGCAAACATGTGGGTCAGCTGCTTCGGGAGCACAAGGACCGTGATGCCTGAATCCACATGTCAGCTCAAGCTTGTGGGACTTCGGTTTGCAGACTTGACGAGGACAAGAACTTTTGCAGTTGGCAGCAGGATACCGACACCATTTCGCTCGGATCAGCAACACACGACAGATAAAATCATGCATAACACAGGTAGTTTGTGGAGTTAGCCTCTTCGGGTCCAGAACAAAGAGATCTTATTTTCGGGGCTTCAGCTTCGTGGCACCGCAATGGGCCTCCGCCTCCTCTCTCACTACAAAGACTTAGCTTGCAGGAGTTCGATCTCTCAGGGCATATCAGTCAGCTTCTACAAGACGGCTGCCAGCGTGCTGGGGACTCTGGGTCTCGCTTCAGAAAACCGTTGCCCTTACCTGCTTTTGGTCGCTCCGGGCCGCTTAGGGGGGGCCTCCAAATTGAAGGATCGTGGGTCCAGAGAGCTGCCCACAGCCCCCCCCCGCAGCGCTTATTGTTCAGGCTGACGTTGTGTAGAACCTGAAGACGTGAAAGGATCCCCAACTGTTCGCCGGCCCAGGATCTGGCAAGCAAGCTGGCGCAGCATCTGAAGGACTGCATGTCTGCAATACCCTACATTGGCCAGATGTCCTGTTGCATGGCAGTCGGGATTTACACAGCATGCCCATAGCTGTCCGATAGTTGTTAAGTGCCAACGAACAGAACTTCCGAGCTTTGAATAAGAGCTGCAAGGATCCCATTGCTTCAACGGACTATGCGAAAACCCTGTATTTGGCAGACCAGCTGCAAGAGATCCTCATAGCTTGGGCGCCCTCCGAGATCCTCGACAGCTCCCTCCAGAAAGCCTTAGAGGACAAGGCCGCTGAAGCGAGATCATCTGTCAGAAAGGTGGAGACCATCCTTGACAGATTCAAGACGGCACTAGAGAGTTCAGAGACTTGGCTCAATGGATGAAACCACTGTCTTTGATTTGTACGAGTCCCTCGCGAGCCCATCTCTTCGCAAACTCAGGATGCCAAGAGGATTCCCTCACAGGCGCTTGCGCGGGAGTTGGCGGCATGCAAGAATGCAAGGCGCAAGGACATGGAGGATGCGGGACTCAAACTCTTAATGCCAGAGACAAGTTTGTCAGGGTAGCGGGAGCCTGTTACGTTTTCGAACGTGTTTCTGAGGCACTCCAGCCACATAGACTCAAGATGAGACACTGGCCAAGAAACGCTGCTTACGCATTGAATGCTGAGCTACACACACATTGAGCGGATCGTGCTGGTTGAAGCTGCTGCGCGGGTCTGCAACTAGAAGTACAGAGGGTGCAAGTGGAAAGCGGCTTGCAAGGCCCAATCGCTGCCAATTAGTGCAGCAGTCGGGGAGTCGTTCAGAGAGTTGAAAGCTTAAAGAATGACCCGTGAGGAGATTTATGCGGCAGCAGTTGAGCAGCTTCGAGAGGCACTGTCGAAGTACCTGCACGATGTCCGTGAAGCAGTTTCCGAAACTGGTTCTTTTCAACACGGACCCCTGCACACATTAGAGTGCACCGTTGCTTGCATCGATGCAACATGCGCTTAGTAATGTACTAAAGATCGCCTGTCAAGCTCAGGAATTGAGAACCTCGGCTGGCTGCACGCGGAACTTGGTCACTTCGATCTGTTCAGCCGCATGAAGACCGAAGTAGCTGCAGAGCTCCAGAGGCTGGAAGCGCAGGCAAGATCAAGGGTCCTCGTTCTGCTTTGCCCTGAAAGTGACTGTATAATGACTGGGCTGTGGGAGTCGCTGCATTCAGGCCATGCAAGAGAAGGAGAAGCTGGCCGCTTCTTTGTGCTCTGCCCAGGGGGCTGGAGAACTCCCTGCTTTCTTCAATCATGCGAGGGGCGACTCCAAGAGCAAGAGCGGCCATCCACAAGCGCGCGGCGCCTTTGCAAAGAAGTACGTGGCTTTGAAAGCGTTCCTGCAGACCGAAGTCCGGGGCCGAGTAAAGGCTTGCCAGGACAGTCTCGCAGAGACCGACTATGAGACGGCAGGACGATCGCTCGAGACCCTGATGACTCTGCAGTGGACCATGGCAGAGCATTTAGAGGCTTCCACCCTTGCGACCGTCAGGTCCGTTCTGAAAGATGCCAAAGATATGCTCCTGCACACGTCGCAGCTCCGTGCTCGACAGCTACGGCTGAAGCCGAAGGAGACAGAAGTCGATGGCAAGAAGATCCTGAATGAGCTCGGAAACTTGGTCGCACTGTATGTCTCCAGCAATCATGTGAGACTTTTGGTTTTTCACTAGAGTCTGCAGCTTCACTCGGAATCGCGGCGCACCGACAACTAGGGGTAGAGCTTTCACACGGGCTTGTCATTGCCACCTTCACCACACTTCAGAGACCTGTGGTGCCAGCCAAGGAGACTTCCTGCACATGGCCACTCACCTGAGCAGGATCTTCGACCAAGACATTCGCCAAGACTTCGAGCTTGCACTGGGCGAGTTCTTGGAGATGCAGCTGCAGAGCTTGGATGATGCTGTGAATCAAATGAGTGTGCAAGAGTCTGTCGCCGCAGCTAGCAGCCTTCAGACGCTGGCAATGATCATGGCAACGCGCTTTCAGTTGTACAAGGACGCCTTCAGCATGAGCTTTGGGGATGGCACATCCGGCTTGGCAAAGCTAGACCACTTGCAGCAAAAGATGGGCGGCAACAGTCTGGCAAGCATTGGAAAGCATTATGCAATTTTAGGTCTTTCGCTCGATGCGTCGGCTGAAGATGTGCAGCGGCGTTTCAGCAGCCAAAGCAAAATCTACCACCCTGACAAGCAATGCGCACAGTCCAACTCTAGACGTCTCGGGACGGACGATGCCACCCGCCTCTTTCAACATCTGCGTACAGCCCAGCAAGTCTTAGAAGACGAGTCAGTGCGATGCAAATTCCAGCGCGGGGTGGGGACTCGGTTCAAGGATCAGATGGACAAGTTGGTCCAACAGGTGCGGCCTTGTACACGGAGGTTACTGGAAGAGGAGCGCTATGATGCTTTGCGGCAAATCAGATGTGATCTCGGTGACATTGATGTTCGAACAGCCGACAACGTGGGCTTCGACCTCAAACATTTCCGAGAAGGCTTCCAAACTGTCTTTGACGAGGAGATGGAGCGCGCAAGGCGACGAGTGCAGCTCTCGTGGCAGCAGCGTGAGCTGAAGGATCTCAACAAAGAGTGGAGAAAGATCGCTCGGTTGGCTACTCTGGGAGTCGGGGTCGGCGGACTCGGAAAGGAAGTTCGTGATCAAATCGAACTGGAAATCGAGCAGATGGGTCAGAAGGCTCGTGCGTACGTCAACCAAAGCGAGGAATCTTGGTTGTCAGATTTTCACACTGGCTGGGTTCGTGTTCTTCGCCATCATATAGAAAGTCAGGTAAGTTAGGTCCAAAAGAGCTTGATTTGCAAAAGGGGTAGTGATGCAGGATGAGGCCAGGAGATGCAGAGCTGACCTTGGGATGCAGCTGGTACTGCTGGGCCGGATCTTCAACGACCTCTCGGACTTCAGGGATCAAGCTGAGTTTCAGGTGCAGCGGGATGAAACACATCATTTTCAGCACGAGTCGATGTTTTTTGGGATGGCTGTGAAGTAATACTACTTGTCCCATGTCCATATCACTTCGACCCTCGGAGAAGCCTGGAGCCCCCGCTTTCCAAGACCGCTGAAAAATATTTTGAGGCACCAAACCTCCCCGCCTTCAAAAATTAAATTCAAAGCGCAGGTCACCGCTGCCCTCAACGACTGCGAGAGCCAACCGTGGGGTCCTTTGTTCCTCTTCGAGCTCGGCATGCTTATGGGCCAGGGCAAGATTGGGGCCTCGAAGGGCGGCCGGATACTTGACGAGGAGCTCCGGTAAGCTGAAGGAGTTTGGACCGTTTGGACTGTCAGCTCAGCTGCACGCCGCCTGAGTTTCTGAGGTAGGGATGGTTCTGTCATGTTGTGCGTTTCTTGTCGACAAGAATCTTGTCACCCTTTGATTATGGAGAGATCTGGAATCTGGAAAATCTAGCAAAGGGAAGTAGTTGAATCATGGCCTAGCGTCAAAGCAATGCCATGTTCCTCATGCTTGCTTGTGAAAGAGGACCAGTGCATCTGTCGCATCCTGGTGAATGAGTTCCGCCACTTCAAAGACGTCCACACAGTCATGCCGGGTATCGTCCAAAGAGGTTGATGCCTTGCGGGCGAAGCATGCAGCCTGTAGCAGCTATACTATCTAGAGTGACCTAGAGTGTCAATAGTATCTATAGTCATGCCGCCATGAATAGCCACTCCTTCGTGCTTCCTTTGGGTTCACATGGCTTCGTTAGTGGCTTGAATGGCTCTTGGAGCCACTGCAAGGTGGAATCAGTTGACCTCGCGTACCCACATGGCTGTGGAAGAGACGCTAAAGGCTCCGTTCTCTGATTGATAACTAAGCTCATGCTGTCGTTTCGCGCCAAGTGAGCTTGCCAGAAGACATTAGCGGAAAGCAAGAAAAGAAGACAGAAGTGGGGGGAGAGAGGGGGGGAGGGAGCAAAAATCTGTGCAGCCCGAGGAAGTGAAGGGACCGCCTTCCGGACCCATCAAACATGAACCAGAAAATCGAAAACAAAACCCGATCTGAGAGGGTCGCTTGAGGGCCACAGCATTACGGTCTGCCATGCAACCCTATCAAGATACCCTAGACCTTCGGCCTCGGCGGATTCTGAGGGACACGCACTGTTGCCTAGCAACCAGAGCCCGACGTGACGATGACGATTCCGATTCTGACCTCATTGATGCATTCCGAAGCAGCCGTCGTCGGATGTAGTTTGTTGCGCTGTTTTTTTTCAGCAGCTTCTCCGTGCCAAGTAATTAGACCTGGTGGTTTCCTGCTTGTCTTGACTTGTTGGCAGTCACAAATGGCTAATTGCATCGAACGTCCCATTACATCCTGCGACTATGGTACCCAGAGGCAACCCCTTCAGTTGGCTGACCTGTGCAGGAGGTGAAGACGTACAAAATCATGAGCAGCTGTAAGAAGCGGGCGCAAGGGACTCCAACAGAAATGCTGAAGCGAGGGTGGGAGGAGTCTTGCATGCACGGCGGCATTATTTTGTGCATACTCGTAGCTTGTCGTATAGTCGTAAAGCAAATGACAGCTTGTCCGTTCCACCTAGGAGTACAACACTCTTTTCGACGATCACTTGCAGCAATGGACGGCGGGACTTCTGACGCCAGAGCAACTAGCACAGAGTGTGATTCAGAGCGCTCAGAGACTCCAACCCTGCAGCAGTGACAGCTGGAGCGAGAACCTCCGTGAGAAAGTGCCGTCGCTTCTGGCGGGCATTTTTGCTTTGTTTACCATCATACGATCTGGAGATGCTTTCATGCGTCATGCCAGCGCATCGAATGTCACGGCAGAGAGTGGTCGCGAGAGCAACGCCAGCAGCGCCTTCGCCCCGAAGGATGGTGACTGAAACCTTCAGGTCGAAGAGCGCCTGCCCTGGCGATTCTCTTGCGGCGTGTACACAGCATATAACTGTATTAAATCACTGTATTACTTAACATGTTTGCAATGGAAAGCTAAAGATTATGACTAGTTCCTGTCCTGTCTTGTTGTTATTGTTGCCATGCATAGCTTGTTATAAACCGTCGTTTCGTTCGAGTTGCATGAGCCCATAGACAGCCTGTAGTGCGAGGATATCTCAAAGCACAGGACCTGCCCAGCCATGTGTCTCGTGATTGCCGTGCTTTTCGAAGGACCTCCTCATCAAACCTCACAGCATCCAGCTATTGGCTCTACTTCGACTCATGGGCTATGGCGAAGCTGGCAGTAAGTTGCAGAATCACGTAATTCGGCTTCTCTTTAATTGCTTCACAATTCTGCTCAGGGCATACATACACACACTATAGACGCGGAGACAAGCCGCGCAGCGACCAATTATCAATTAAGTTATAAGGTGATGCAGATTCCGACGGGCGAAGGCAAATCCATTGCCCTGGGCGGTGGGTCTGCTTTGCTCGCATTACTGGGTTTTTCTGTCAGATGCTGGGCGCATGTTATGCGTACGTTTTGTTCGGTCAGAGCAAGCCAGCTAAGCCACCACCGAAGTTCAGACCTTACCATGACTTGGTCCAGGATGTGTTTGCTACTCCGAGTATTTGAGCAAGCGTGATTGGAATGCTTTCCGGGATGTTTTCATAGCCTTGAAAGTGGACAAAGACATCGTCTACAGCACCGTCACGACGTACAGCACCGGCCTTGGTTGAGTAAGAGCCAGGTGATTGGAAAACTCGCAACCAGGCATCTTGCTGGCCATTGCAACCTTTGTGCGTCGGCCGAGTTCGTAGTCGTCTTTTCTGCGCAACGAGACTAGATAAAAGTCTGCGGTATGCCTCCCCGTGTATGGTATCAGAACCACGAGTCTATCTATGGGCCAGGTTGTCAAGAGCCTGCGGCTAATCCACAGGGGACAGCGGGAACATTATGAATTTCCGCAAGAATGCGGATGCATGAAATATGTCAATATGCATCTGTATGTCTGAGTACGCATACCTACAGCGGGAGAGAGTGATCGACAGAGACGTGGCTCTAGACAGCATTTTCTTATGCGCTTTAAACATTACAGATAAAAACAGGTAAGCAATGTACGATTGTATACATATATATATATATATATATATATATTTATATGCATGTACATATGTACCTATACAGCCTATACATATACACAGACACACACACACACACATACATACATACATACATGCATACATACATACATACATACATACATACACATACATACATATAGCCGGCCATGCACGCACACAGAACAAAATGCGTATGTATGTGCAAATATATATATATATATATATATATATATATATGTATATATATATATATATATATGTATGTATGCACATACATACATGCCTACGTGCATACATATATGTGCATATCTGCGTCTATGTAGCTATGTTTTAGTGCACCTGCGTGTACATAGCACCTATGCATGCGTGTACATGTGCATGGATGTGTGTTTCGGACTTTTATGTGTGTGTGTATGTATATATATATATATATATATATATAACGATTGTATATGCATACCCGGTCTATGTACACAGAAGTATATACATACATATGCACGCAGACTCTGCATACATAAAACTTAACAAGTACAAACATGTAATAATATACGCACATCCATCCGCAGATGTGCATGTATGTATGTATGTATATATGTATCTATGCATGTGCGTGTTATGCATGTATATATGTATGAATGCATGTGTGTGTGTGTGAGTGTGTGTCTTCCATTATATGTATGTATATCTATGTATTTAGCTCTGTATATATGTGTACGAGTGCATACTGTTTTCATGTACAGGCATGTTAGCATATATGTATATGTGTGTGCGAAGATGTCAATGTATGTATGTGCTCATATGTCTAGATTTCCGAAGTTGCTAAATGTATACGTAGTAGATGTGCAGATGTGTATATCTCCTTTTGCCGATTTTTCAATTGCGTGTGTGTATGTGTGTGTATATATTTTTCTATATGTAAGGGTGTGTAAATGTGCGCGTGATGGTATGTCTGTATTTAAACATGTCTCTATGTGTGTATGTAGTTCATTGCATGTCTTTTGCGTGCGTGTGTGTGTGAGTGTAGGTAGGTATGCAGGTATGTAGGTATGTCCGTACGTATCTATTTGTGTATATTCGTATGCCTGTATGGTTGTATGTATATGCCTTTAGGCATAGACACAGATAAAGACATCGGTATTGATATAGATATGTACCAGTTTATATAGGTATATCTATATATATATATACACAGATAGCATATACATACATAGAGTCATGCCTATGTACATATGCGTGCGTGTCTGCGCCTGCCTTACTGCCTGTCCGTCTGTCCGTCTATATGCGCATGTATATAGTTTTATTTTAATGTACATATGTATAAATAAATATATATATATATATATATATATGTATGTATGTATGTATGTATGCGTGTACGTAGACGTAAATACACATATGTATATATACACATATGTATGCACGTAGGTGCATATGTATGTATACGTACGTGTGTATATATGTACATAATATGTTGGAAAAATGAGTGTGTGTACATATATAGATATATGTGTGATTTATATATACATATATGGATGTATACATGTCTATATATATATATATATACACATCATTTCCGTCCATTTACTCATATCTTTCAAATTCCTATCTTAAGTCCTATTCCTGTAAACCCACATCCATCTCACTATATATATATATATATATATATATATATATGATCATGTGTATATATATATATGTATGTATGTATGTAGATATATAGAGAGAGACAGAGAGAGAGTCCATGGCGCAAGTACAGTAAAGCCTCTATGATCCTGCTCGCAAGGTGCTGTTACACAGATAGGTCTGGGCCTTTTGTTGCTTGTGTTTGGAGCATGAGATCAGAGGCACATACAGCGAGCCAACCTCGGACGATGCATCCAGGCAGTAACCAGTTAGACCCGTAATAGGACCAGTGTTTGCAGTTCACCTGGGGCCATCGGGGCGGAACAACCACCAACGAGCGGCTTGCTGAGTTACCGACACACACCGAGTGACAACTAGCGAACATCAACCTGGGACTTGTGCAGGTGGTCGGTAACCCTAGCCTTGAGCACGTAATACCGTGCAAACCACCAACCAGGGGCAGCCCTCCGGGCGGGGGCTCGCCCTCAAGCCTTGCGAAAGAAAGAGAGACACAGAGAGAGAGAGAGAGAGAGAGGGGCTCTAAACCAACTGCCTGGGAGAGAGACAGAGAGAGAGAGAGAGAGAGAGAGAGAGAGAGAGAGTGTTGGACGGACAGACAGAAAAGATAGCAGCCACGACCGGCATACAAAGGTGAGGACCTCATCTTGCGAAAGGGCGACATCCGAAGCCTGACCTTGGACTTGGTGCAAGGTCAAGAGCTCAATGGGGGCGGTCTGCCGACTGCCGCGAGTCCTTCCGATAATGCTGCCGAAGCAGGAAAGACACTTTGGCTTGGTCGGGCACGCAGTTGTGCATGTCTAGAGACGCAATTAGAAAGATTATTTGCTTCGGTCCACCAAGGAAGCGTGGCATCAAGGCCACACAGCCTCCTGCGAAAAAGACAAAGGTCAATGCTGCTCGACAGCGGAAGCGAAAAATGGCCGATGAAGAGCAAGTGCCAAGCGCTTGCTCGGCAGTGGTCCCCCATGCTGCCACTGCGGTGGTGTCAGCGGATGCCTTAACTCCGGCTGTCCACGCGCAAGCTTCACCGGCTGCCCCGAAGGAGGAGATCCTAATTGTCGACGAGGTAGACGTTTTCTTTGGCGAAAACTTCTATGGAAGGACCCACAATCAGGTCGCAACATTGGCGGCACCAGAGATCGCGGAGCTCTTCCACAAACTGTGGGAGAGCCGGAATGAAAGAGACTGTCCGCAGGTGCTTTTCCAAAGCATGAAGGGCACCACCGCCTTCACAAAACTGTTGCAGCTGTTCCCTGACTGTGCTGATGTTCTGACGTCAGAGTTGAAGGCCATGTGCTTGGATTTGAAAGACTTCGACTTCCAGTCTGCCGACTACATTTTTGAAGACGGCAAGATCGGTTACAAGATTCTCGATGGAATTTGTTGGAACGTGGTTCATGGCTACCACACTGCATTTGCATACCTGCATGAGGCTGGAAAGGGCAACATTCGCGATTCCGACCTCGTCCTGGACAAGGCCCTGCAACTGCGGATACCATGTGCACGGTTCTCCTACGCAGGAATGAAGTGCCATCGGATTCTTGGAGTGTCTGGAACTATCCACCATTTGGGAAAGCATCAAACCGACATCATGCAGCGCTACGGCATCAAGAGCTACACTTGCATGCCGTCAGTGTATGGCGAGAAGAGATTTGAGTTTCTTTCGTGCACCGGAGCTGTGCCCATCAAGATCTCCGCGGACAAGAACCACATTTTCGACATCGTTACCGAGGCACAGCGCATGATGGTGGTTCGTTTAGGGTCCTTGCTGGAGTGCTAAAGTCAGCTTCAGCGGAAAACGCACGACACAGAGCCTGAACCGATGCTGAGACTGCCTGAAACAGCCATTGAGAAAGCCCTGCAGGCATAAAGGCAATGTTGACACAGGGAGCAAGGCGTCTTGCATAATCTTTTGCATGGAGTCATTCGGTTCACAGTCAACTTGGCAATGGCAGGCAAACAAGGTCATCGGCCAAGGGCGGGCGGTGCTCGTCTTTTTCAAGAGCGTTGATCATTTAGCACAGTTTGAGAAATCGCCATATTTTTCAACTATCCCTGGAAAGAGGCTTGGATTACAGTACAGCACGTTTTGCCTTTGCGAAGGACTTCAATTGTCAATCATTCTTCGACATGCTTGCGACCCCAGTAAGTTAGGTCTGGCTTTTTTCGCATGAGAGTGAAGACCGAAGCATCGTGTCCCAATTCGATGAACCTTCTGAGTTTGGTTTTCAGGAATGTGCTCCGGCCCAACCTTCCAGACAAGGTGAAGGAGGACTTACCACGCAGATGTTGAGTCGTTGCAGTCACTGCAGGATGCTGCAAGCTTTCTCGATGGGCCGTACAAGTTGCGGATAATATCAACTGTGGTTGCAGTTGCAGATCCTGCATGGGCTTCAGGATGTTATCAAGAAGGCGGCAACGCCACACCAGGCCACCTTCGTGGGGCTCACAGAGTTGCCTTGTGCCACCTGCGGGATGCTATGGCTGCGCTTGATGCTGCGTGACCATAGCAAGTCCAGCCAGCCTAAGCTCTTAAACTACGTGAGTCTTCTGGCCCACACAGCCACCATGTCGGAGCTTTTGGCGTGATCAGTCGACACACCCATAACACTGACTTACATTCACGCTTGCAGGCAACCTTGAGTGATGCTGCATAAATGTACATTGACAAGTTTAGGCATCTACTGAATGACGTGACAAGGTTGCGCTGTCACATCGAACTTCCCCGACCAAACCAGACCGATCCAAGAGTTCCAAGCAGATCCAGGCTTAAGATAAACAGTAGAACAGGCGCTTCGGAGTTGAAGAGAGACGTTAGATGTCCGAGTCTCCGAGCCTTGCGCCGCCAAGGCCCCAGCCATCTTCGGCCGTGGCACGGACTTTTGCTGCCTCTTGGCGTGGGGATGCCGTGTTTTAGGGTTGAAGCAGGGATCCAACTCCGGTTGTGTTGATGCGTTGCAGCAGAGCGAGCTGTGCCCTATCACCTGGAATGCATTCCACAGCATGGGTTCGTAGACGGAGCTGCGCAGGTAAGCACATGGGTTTCAGATTGAGTTCAAGTTTTGTTTTGTCAGGGTGACTTTGTAGCTACAACTACCGGGGCGTCAGCCTCCTTGCAGACGAAGCTATGCGTGCGGCGAAACTTACACAACAAGCGTGTGGAATGCAAAGCGGAGGGCGTACAGCTGTTGCTGCATTGCGAGACATGTCTAGGATGCATCTCAGTCTCTGTTTGTGATTCACAGTACCGTGGACAACCGTAGTCGCTTGTGCAACCTGACTTGCGACAGGCTACGATGACAAGCTTGAGAAGGCGCGGGGTGTTGGCATTGTGGAGGTGTTCAGGGTCCTATGATGACAGCCGGGATCAGACGGGTCGCTGTCACCGGTGGCATGAAGCAAGGTTCCAGCATTCAGGAGGGTGATTCTTTTCAGATCTTTTCAGCATTGTGCCCTGAGGCAGGTGGAGTCCACGTCATTCAGGCTTTCTTTGCCCAGGACCGCAGCGAGGAGATCCAAATCCAAGGGCGAACAGCCAGGCAGGGCAAATCCGGTACGTACTCTTTGGTTTTGTCTTCGTCGGAAGTCGAGGGTCTCGGACTTGACCCGGCCGAGCTTCGAGGGCTAACGCCTCCCAAGCTGTATCAAACTCTCTGCGACAGCAGAGACCAGCAGCAAGAGACGCAGTCTGCGGAGATGGAGGAGAGACTCAAGGAGGCAAGTGCCCTCGACAGTCGGTCTCACGAGTATTTCGATCTCCTCCTCGCTGGCCGGCGCAACGCGGCCAAAGCGAGCCTCTCGCAGCTCTACAGGAGTATTGGCTGTGTTGGTGGGGCTTCGGAGGGTTATCATATAGTTTGCTGCTATGACGAGTCTGGATCTATGAACGGTGACAGCTGGACAGAGCTGGTTGCTGCTCACGCCTCCTGCATGCACAAGTTTGCCGCGATGGATCACATCTGCATCTCCATCGTGCAATTCGCCGAGGAAGCCAGGGTGGTCTTTCCGTTGGGCAAGGTCACTGACGCTCCTGTCGACTTGCAAATGGTCGGCGGCGGGCCCACCCACTACACACCTGCCTTGAAGAAGGCACGTCGCTTGATGCGAGATGGCACGCAATCGCATGCGGGACTTGTGCCTGTGCTGCTTTTCATGTCCGACGGGGTGAGCCATGACGGTGCTCCCGTTCAACTGATTCAGCAGATGCAGAACGAATTTCCAGAGATGGTGCTGCACACAGTAATCTTCCGGTGCCCAGATTCCGAGCAACTGCGACGCATGGCGGCAGCAGCAACTGAAGGCCAAGGGCATTTTCATGCCTCAGCAGATGGCGTAGAGCTCATGCAGACATTCTCAGCCATCGCAGCTCGGCCTTTCTGCCACCGACAGTGATTTCGATGGTACGTGTTGTCAGTCGTCTTTGGAACAGACATGAGAGGTCAGTCAAATTGCAAGCGAAGTTGTTGCGAGTGCCAACACTGCGCTGTTTTGCCTTTGTTCAACATTTGCCTGAGACAGCACATTGTCTAGTGCGGTTGTATCAGGTTCGAAAGTAGGTTTCGAAACAGGTGCCTTTTGCATTGAAAACTGCCGGAGATTGCTGGACCGAGGCCAGTGGCTTGGAGTTCACGGGGCGAAAATGAATGCTGATGGCGCCCACATGCTGGTGGCCAGTAGACAGCCCAGGGTAGGAACTGGCAAGAAGCATACTGTCAGTCAGAAGACTTGCATACCAGGCTTCGCAGTGCAGCGGTAATTATGCCCTCGGTTTTGTTTACTTGGTTTTGCAGGGTCTGGACAGCTTTGATTTGCTGAATAGCGAAGTCTTCACGCAAGCCTTCTGTTCTGACTATCATCTCTGAGGGGTTGCTGGGAGGCAGCAGCATACCACCAAGCACGATGCGCGGTGATCCTAAATTTGTTCTGTAGCAAAGCTGGCAGCTTTGCAGCTTTCGTTCCGATATGCATCTACCCAAGGAGTGTCTTGGAACCGTTTGCTATATGCGCCTTCCCGGCTACAGTTCGGAAGCCAGCAAATTGCAATGTACTGTTTGGACTTTGAGTTCTACTGGCTTCACGGAAAAGTGCTGAGATGCAGCCATTGTGCTTGGATATGCTGCCCAAGTGGCTCTGGAACAAGAGTGTGTCTCTTGGCTCCATAGTCGCCACGGCCGTCCCAGTGGGGATGCAGCATTCTAGCGAGTTGGCAGCTGGTTCAACTCCTTAGGCCTCAAAAGCCCTCAAAATCATGGAAACCCGACATATCCAGTCACACGCAACCAGATTTGCCGCGTAGGACGTGTGTGTCAAGCTTCCACTGGCGGCAGAGGGCTCTGGGCTCAGGAAGTGGCTTCCAAACTCCAAGGAATCTGTTCTTCCTACGGACCTGCGAAGCTCAGAAGACAGTTGGACCCATACAACCCACCCCACTTGCCCAATCCAATCTATTCGTCGAGTTTTAACACCCGGTCCGTAAGGAGTTTAGCAAATTTAGCTCATAGATCACTAGCACGTGGCTCCACTTCGTGCGTGCCTCGGAGGCAACAGACCTCTCAGACCTGTTGTCCGAGCATGAGAGTTCAAGAAGCGGGGTTTCGGGGTGGGGCAAGTGTTCGGCAAACCTTGGTCCTTCGTGCTGTGTGTGGGCCGACTGCCATAGGACTTGATGTTTGATTCCAATCATTTTTGGTGCCCCAGGCCTAGGCTCAGACTGAAAGCCCCAGGACCCAGAATCTGAAGCTTTCCAGGAGCGAAGTCGCGAGCTTCCAAACTGTTTCCAAAGCTCGTGTCATGAGTCATCAGTCATATACGAGGTCCCGCACAGAACATGCACGCATTATCTTCCCCTTCGCGCAGTAATTACCAGGGAAATACCAAGCCGAACCAGCGATCGAGCCGGCAACGTATAGGATGATCCTGTGATAATCCTGTGTTGGAGAGCCTGACGGCTTCAGAAAAAAAAAACAAAACGAGCGATATGCATCTCTGATCGCTTGAGTCCAGAGTCTCGCATCTGCAGCGTCATATTGGCTCGTGGAGACCCGAACTCACCCCAGCCTTGACCAGAAGGAGGGAGCTGGTTGTACTTGCGCAATCCGAGTCCCCGTATCCCCGCCGACTTGTATTGACAAGTATTACATACTATGCATCCTCATATCTTTTATGGAGCAGCAACCCATTTCAGTTTTAGCCTCAGCTCAGCATCTTGAACGTAAGAAGCACTTAGTCAAGGGCGTGTCATCTTGTGACCAGCCGATGCCACGAGGCCGAAATGGCATGGTGGGGATGAAAATGATGGCAGGTATTCCATGGATTCTGCGAGGGCGCGAGTCTACTCGCGGGTTGGACTTTCCAGCTGAACCACCGGTCTCGGGGCTGAAACGAACCGCCGCACAGCAGCGGCACATATGGCATGTGACATTTTCGCAGGTCGGCGATGTTTACCGACAAGATTGCGGCAGCCGTTGACCAGGCACGGAACGAACATCGCTCCGATGTGGCCGAAATTTTTTTTAAACATGTGAAGAAAGCAGCACCAAACACCTCAAAACCCAAGCTCTAAATGAGCTTTCAGTTGCAGCGGGCAAAGGGAACGACTGTGGAAGCCCTGAGTTGTTGAGGCCGAGGCCCAAACTTTGCCAGGCTCGCAACGATGCTGCCAGCGCCATCGAGCGACACGTGGAGCGAGCCAAGGCAAGCCGCTCTAGGTTTTGGGGTGCCTTTGACTCGTTACCCGATGCTTCTGAAAGGCCAACTCGGCAGAGTTGAGGTTTTGCTTGGAGACCGAGGCTTTTAGGCTGCAGGCGCTTCGGGCTCACATGCATGCATGGAGTCATGGATGTATATAGTATAATGTAATGTAATTTTGTGTCATGTTATGTTATGTTTACAATTTATGTAATTATGCTTAGTTTAGGGTTTATGTAATTCATGTGTGCATGCATGTTTGCATGTGAGTAAACTTGGTTAAATAGTTCTAGGCGAACTTTCTGTTCGGCGAACTGCCTGCGCAACCAGGTCGCAGCCACGGGCGTCGTGGAACAAGCGAGAGGCCAGACAGATGTCAATTGTAAGTTGACTGATCGGTTTGGTGCTTCATGGCTTCCTCGATTGCTGTTGCGTAGATTCTCAGTAATTAAAAGTTAAAACCCTGAGGCCCTACAGGCTTGAGAGTCTATACCTGGTTGTTACCGACCTTCGTCCTTGTTCGTTTTTGAACCCGCAAACACAGTGACAGCGTAGCACCGGCTGGGAACCACTGGAAGGTCGAGGCTAGCTCTTGTAGCTGCTAGCTGCGGCCGGTAGCTGCTTTTCAGGGTCATGGTAGGACGCTTAACTTACAGGTTCTCACGTAAGCCAAGCGATCAACCGATTCTAGCACTCGCACTCATCGTATGCCCAAGCCTGCCCAAATCCCAATCTTGAAGTTTGCAGGATGTTTGTTACTTTCCGCCCGTGCAGAGGCTCTATGGCGCTGTCAGCAGCACCGGTACCTTGCTCCGCCTTGTTGGCCTGTTTTCTGGTGGCTGCCGCTTCTGGCACGGAACCGACTGATGCCTGTTGGCAACAAACGAGTACTGCTCTTTCTGGGAATTAATCTGCGTTCTATATGCTGAGTCCTTGCAGGACGGATGTTGGTGGAAAGGTTCTGTTTACATGAGTGAGGGTTGCAGTACGGTTGTTTCTGCGGAGGTGACTCTTATGCCCCTACAACGAATCAGCCACACGGGTTTAGCGTACATGCAGTCTCGGCTCTTGCTGGATATGCGGGTCATGAGCACGGCGGGTTGGCGTTAGCATTTGCTACAGTGCGAGCACAGCTCGGAGTCAGACAGGAGTACAGCAGAGGGGGGAGCACAGCAGACGACTAAGGGACACGACAGAGCCGAAACATCGCCGTGCAGTACAAGACATACCGCCTGCGACCATGACCGCCGCATCAAACCTAAGCGCAACGGGCAGCTAAGAGTTCGGCACGGTGCGCAAAAGGCCTCTGAGAGGTAACTTCCCACCAGGTCCTACCCCATCTGCTTGATGCAAGGGGCACGTGTCTGTACTCTGCAGCATAATTAAGATACAGGATGTGCAAGTGCTTCTCATGCCGCCACTTCGGTGCCAGCCACGAATTCGTGTATAATTTGAGGGTGGTCATGTCACGTGCAAAATACCCCACGGACATGCCAATTTAGCAGCTTCCTTTTTGCTCTCTAGCACATGCTCCGCAAGGGTTGAGTCATCCCTTTCCCTTCTCGGCTCCACTGCCTCAAGTACTAAGGGCTCAGGTGTTTGTAATTGGCCCATCTCAAGCAGCCTTAAATGCTAAGCACTAAACCTCACCTCCTTCGAAAACCAAGCCTTTGCAAACTGTTACTGTCAATGCGCCCGCCCGCTGAATTACACTAATTAAAACGTCCTATGGTGCAGTCCGAGTTGTGAGAGTGTAAAATGCCATAAAGGAAAGCAGCAGCAGCTTAGCGGCTTCGCCAGGTCTGCGGTCGAAGTACGCGCGGCGGTGATGGCGGTGCCTGCAATGATGTTGGACTGGTCCTGGTGCTGACTGAAGGGCTTGTGGGATTTTGGGGTTAGTTTCGCCATTCCGGATGTTAAGGTTGACTCGGCCAGCGCCAGAGAGACCGGGATGCAAAGCGGTATTACGCAAGGCTCTTGTTTAAAGCTTTTAGGGTTCGTGCAGAAAGGGTTGGAGTCTATCTCTATGGGCTTGCAAGCGGAGATTGCCACTTGCAGGGTTCAACAACATTGGATTTGGGTCTGCACTGCTATACCTGCAACGTCGAACATTTGCAGGAGAGATGACCAGCAAAATCGAAGCTTCTGATGGAGCTCCGAAATGCTACAGCTGCCTTTCGGCAACTGGGCCCGTTTATGTTTGTGGCTTTTTGTCCGTCTGTTTGTTTGTCTGTTTGTCTGTTTGTGCGTGGGTGTGGGGTTGTGAGTGGGTGTGTGTGTGTGTAGGTGTTGCGCTCCTTGAAAAAAGGTGTTGCTGTTTTCAATTGCTTTGCTCTAATGTGCTGGACTTTGGGGCTTATATTTAGGGCTGACTTGTGGGGGTCACTGCTGGGACTTCCAGATATTCAGATCGGCAAATCCTCCCCGTCATTGGCAGCAAGAAAGTACATCCAGGTAGACATGTTGTTCATTCCAGCCCCGATTTCGTTGCCTGCAATCGTGCTCAGCTGTAGCACACACCACGGTCAGCCAACAGTCCCATTATGAACCCAACCTGTCCTAGTGTTGAATATCATGTTCCGTGGAAATATTGAGTCATTTATCCGCTAGTAGTGCGAGAGCCGCCTCGGAGCCGCTTCCGAGTTCCGTTCTGCCTGCAGCCACAGCAGCCAGTTATGCAGACAAGCAGAATAATGTCCAAGGCCAGGCCAGGATTTGGGATCGAGTCTTTAAGTTTCCGGCGCACCCACCGCCGCGAAGCAAGCGTACAGAGGAAGCATGCGTCGCAGAGGGAAGGACGTCAAAGAAGCTTGGGGGCCGTGGGAGCGGAGGTGGAGTATGGGACCCGCCAAAAAAGTGCTTCAGAAACTCGAAACCTGAACCCACAGTGTAATTACATTGCATTGTACCCGATTGCCTAGATCTGATCTGGACGCCGCGACCCCAGGGTTTCACC